ACTATTATCCTAGAATCAACTGACATGTTTTGGGTCTTACGATCTTACGATATTATTTTGTGTGGATTTGATTTTTGTTTGATTTCAGTCTATAATAAAGATTGTAAAAACTCTTTTACTTTAATACTGATCTTTAAATAGGCAGTTCAAAAATATTACTTCATTTATTTTTGTACTCTTGACGATGTTAAATACATAAATAGATTATATAATCTAGTATAACCGGTTATTATATTTGAGACAAACACAACGACGCACGAGACAGTGAACAGGACCAGAAAAACGTCATGGACATACCACATACTGATGTCTAGATATATCTACAGCAAACACTGTGGTTTATATAAAAGTATAATTGCATAGCAAGAGAACTATCTTAATTTTAGAACTCAAAAATACATGAAAAAAGTTTGCGTTGACAAGAATTATATATTATGGTTATGAGGTACGCTATATGTTCTTATATTATATATGCTTTTATGTAAAGTTTAAACCGCAAAGACGACACGATTTTTAATTGCCGAATATTTCTTTAAGTCCAAGGCAAATATTATTAAATACTTTATTTGCATAAGATTAGTCATACAATCTCAGGCAATGTAGTGTTTATAATTACGACCATGCCCAAAATCTAGCCCGTCTATCGGTAGATTTAGCAACTAGAGACAAATGGTGGGTAGTAATTAAGACCCTTAAATAATAATTCTGTTTGATAACTATACCTTTTCAAAACACACCTAAAAATAGTACATTATAATTTCTCTCCAAAGTCTAGAATTCTGGATCTAACCGGTATCGTCGTTGGTAAGCAGTTGTCCTTGTAAAGTTGTTGACCTGGCGAACCGTCTAGAATCTAGATGTCTCAGTACTAGTATTGTATTTATAAAATGTCATCAACACAAATTAATCAAGCCAAAACTTAGTTACTTACTATAAGCCGTTGAGGAGACCTCTCGACTGTCTGTCCGTTCTATAATTAGGTCGGCTTTGTGTGTTTAAAAATCTTTATTGTAAATTATTGTAACATAATAGGTGCATTAATCGCCTCTAAAATTTTCAAAAGTTCCCCTCTGTTTCCCTAGGATTCTATCATCAGATCCTAACCTCATGGAAATCGGACCCCTTTGGGAGTATAACCTTTTAAACAAAACAAGGATTATAGAAATCGGTTCACAAATGGCAGAGCAACCGGTGGAAAAACAAAAAAAAACAAATATCACTCCTCCTTTTTTGAAGTCGTTAAAAAGTAGCTCGTGAGCGAGTGACCTAAGTAGGTACGTTTTACTGGCCTGACGCGTGCTACCACACCTTGGTAGTAAGTTAAGCATATAAAACGTACGTAGCACGTATGAAGGTACGATGTACATTGACCTAATTGGGGACAAAGTCCATTCAATGCTTTTAGTACCTACAGAGATACTTGAGGCGAGCCTACTGTGTAATATGGATTGTTTATATAACATATGCCCGAATACTGAAACGTTTGTTAAATATTTAACGGCTGCTTAAATCATTGAGCAGCCCTCAAATTCTATTTTTGTATCATTAATTGTCAGTTATTCTTTTGAAGGCCTGTTACATTTAAGTCGTGCTCAATGGTCCAGTTATATGAAAAAACCGTATACTGGTTTGTTAACTGTTATGAAATTCCCACTGAGAAAGTACGGGAACAAAATTGTTGTATGAAGCTGGACGGAACGAATTGTACATACAATAAAAATCAACAGACTTATTTAAAAAGACATTGACTTTTTATAAAGTACTTTGTTTATGTGAATAAAAACATTGAAATATGAAGGACAAGGATCATGGACTAATAAAAAACAAAAGATAGATAAGCTCTATATCTTGTTCGAAATAGATTCAACGTGACTTCCATGTGTCGAAGTAGCTCAAGTAGCCACAACATGTCAATCTAGCCGAACAAGTGGGCTTAGAGAAAGATTGTAGTGTTAAAGTGTATCTAGTGAAGAGATTATTTTTAAAACGGTTCTAGAATCAGATCTGATCACACGTGGGTTATGCGCTATGTTTGTTAAGTTCTACTGTAAATTACATAAC